GGGGGTGAAACACCCTCGACCTATTCTCAAACTTTAAATAGGTAAGATTTCGGGGTTGCTTAAGCGAACCCCGAGGATCAATGAAAGCTCCAAGTGGGCCATTTTTTGTAAGCAGAATTGGCGATGCGGGATGAATCGAAAGTCGAGCTACTGTGCCAAACTGCGCGCTAACCTAGACACCACAAATGGTGTTGATTGATACAGACAGCAGGATGGTGGTCATGGAAGTCAAAATCCGCTAACGTGTGTGTAACAATTCACCTGCTGAATCAATCAGCCCGAAAATGGATGGCGCTGAAGCTGGCGACCTATGCTCGGCCGTTGCGGCGATTCTGACCCCGCGACGAGGAGGGTGCGGGGCCTGCTGCGAAGCTTGGAGCGTGAGCCCAGGTGAAGCGGGTCCCGGTGCAGATCTTGGTGGTAGTAGCAAATATTYAAATGAGAACTTTGAAGACCGAAGTGGAGAAGGGTTCCATGTGAACAGCGCTTGGACATGGGTCAGTCGGCCCTAAGAGATGTGGAAACCTTGTATCAAGGCGCACTGAGCGCCGCACATCGAAAGGGGGTCGGGTTAATATTCCCGATTCGGGTTGTGGAGGTGGACGGTAACGTAAGCAGCTCCGGAGATGCCGGCGGGGGCCGTGGGGAGGGTTCTCTTTCCTTCTTGACGGCTCGCCCACCCTGGAATCGGATCAACCGGAGATAGGGAGCAGCGCCCGGCAAAGCACTGTGCGTCCTGTGGTGTCTAGCGCGTCCCCGACGGCCCTTGAGAATCTGGAGCTGCGGGTACCTCTCACGTTCGATCGTTCTCAAGACCGCATCAGGTCTCCTAGGTGAGCAGCCTCTGGGCAAAGGAAGAATGTAGGTAAGGGAAGTCGGCAATATGGATCCGTAACCTTGGGAAAAGGATTGGCTCTGAGGGCTGGGCCTAGGGGTCTGCGCCCCGATTTCGTTGGCTGTCGGTGGTCTGCCCGAGCTGCTCTCGCGGTGAGGGCGGAGCCCGCGTGCCAGTGTGCCGACGGGTGTAGAATGTCTTATGTCCCCACCTTTCGGGTGGGGCCGTGGGACTCTCCCTAAGCATCAAACTGCCGACTTAGAACTAGTGCGGACAAGGGGAATCCGACTGTTTAATTAAAACAAAGCATTGCGATGGTCCCAACGGATGTTGACGCAATGTGATTTCTGCCCAGTGCTCTGAATGTCAAAGTGAAGAGATTCAACCAAGCGTGGGTAAACGGCGGGAGTAAGTATGACTCTCTTAAGGTAGCCAAATGCCTCGTCATCTAATTAGTGACGCGGATGAATGGATTAACGAGATTCCCACTTTCCCTATCTACCATCCTGCGAAACTACAGCCAAGGGAACGGGCTTGGAAGAATCGGCGGGGAAAGAAGACCCTGTTGAGCTTGACTCTAGTTCGACTCTATGAAATGACTTTAGAGGCGCAAGTGAAATACCACTACTTTAAACGTTATTTTACTTATTTCGTGAGGTGGAGTCGGGGCTCTGCCCCTGCTTCTCGATCCAGGGTGCAGGCCCTCGTGGCCTGTCCGATCCAAGCGAAAGACATTGTCAGGTGGGGAGTTTGGCTGGGGCGGCACATCTATTAGAAGGTAACGCAGGCGTCCTAAGATAATCTCAACGAGAACAGAAATCTCGTGTGGAGCAAAAGGGCAAATTCTCATTTGATTTTGATTTCCAGTACAAATACAAACTGTGAGAGCATGGCCTATCGATCCTTTACCATTTCAGGACTTGAAGCTAGAGGTGTCAAAAAAGTTACCACAGGGATAACTGGCTTGTGGCAGCCAAGCGTTCATAGCGACGTTGCTTTTTGATCCTCGAATGTCGGCTCTTCCTATCATTGTGAAGCAGAATTCACCAAGTGTTGGATTGTTCACCCACCAACAGCGAACGTGAGCTGGGTTTAGACCGTCGTGAGACCGGTTAGTTTTACCCTACTGATGCACCGCCGTCGCAATGGTAATCCAACCCAGTACGAGAGGAA